TCATCTATATTAAACAGCATGGTTGCGCAAATCTTCCTCTGCAGCTATTGTATTCGAACAGCTGGAGCCCCTTGCTGAACAGCAACAGCAGCTGATTGGTTGCAGTCACTGTTTCACTGAATGTATTCGGTCCAGCTATTTCGACAAAGTTGATTGAGTAATCTGCTTTTGTTGAGCCAGCAGGGCCACTCATTGGAAGTCCCATTCACATAGGTACTTTGCTGCATTCTGGGTTTCCTGAGACAAAAACCTATCGATTTATTGATTCTTGTGGCAGGAGGGCCAGGTGTCCTCAGTTCAGATGCGAGTACAATTACATGCAGACTGCCACAGAGAGATGCCATGTGATCTTGTACTGGACAGGAAGTTCAGGGAAGTTGAGCTGTTCAGAAACATGATGATTGTAAATGCTTGAGCAAAAATTTAAAGAAATCCTTTTCTGGGCCATGTATATTTGTTTTATCTGGATTCATTATTTAAAACAAGTTTGAGGGTTTAATATAACTTTAATAACCATCATAGAAAGGGAAAAAAGACCAAATGTTTGGAAAAGAAAATAGTTTCCTTTACTCCCTGTTGAAATAAAAAAATACCAGAACAGTCCAAACACTCCCCAGAATGACCCCCTGTTTGGAAAGCAGACACCCCAAGGTAATCTCTTTTTTGCCACAATTTGTGGAACTGAAGAAACATGCCGGTATTGAGGGGGTTAAAACATGGAGATTGATATGGGTACACTATATATGTGTTATTGAACAGGTGATACATAGAGGGATCAGCAGGTGAAGGGGGTTAATGAATGGGGTCATATACAATTGGGGATGGAGATGAAAGGGTTAATGCTTAAAAGACAACCATGGGGTAACCTTTTTATCCCATAGCTTTCTTTAGGGTTATGGGAGAACATATAGTAGCCTCTTCCCGTGATCCAAAGCTCAGTATATAGCGAGCTATTGCCCGCTATATACCGAGAGCGCCGCAGCCGGGACGGATCCTAACAATACTGTCAAGATCCACCTAGCTATCTAGAGGCAAAACCAGCTGTGCCCACCCCTTCCACCCATCTGTTTCTCCATTCAGCGCTGGAGGATCAGAGCGAAGGTTGAAATCCCTGCGAGGCGCCGCTACTGACAGTCAATGCTCTCTGCCGGGAGATGATCGGAAAGTGAGCAAGCGACGGTATGCGTTCGCTCACTTCCGCATCTATAGAGCCGACCTGTGACAGTTCAATGTTACACGTCGGCTCTAACTGAGGATGAATGTAAATCACTCACCTCGTAGTTCTTCTTTAAATGTACAGTATAAGGGAGGTGAGGGGTTAATTTACACTTCACAATACAGAGACAGGCTGGAGATCAGATGTGTATGAAGGAAGGAAGGGGGAATGTGTGTGAACGGGTTAAAAAACAAAAATAGTTCCTGGAAACTAATAAATGATTCAGCTATGGCTGCTGCTAACCCATTCATTCATGACTTCCTCTGTTGTAATAGGAAGGGGAGGGATCAACCATGTACACAATAGCTGTGATTGGTCAGCAAAGGGATCAGAAGCTACCAAGCCTCTTGGATAGACTTAGTACTGTGTCTGTAGACCTAACCATCTAATGAGAGTTCGGTACGCAGCAATTAGGCCCGGTTCACACCTGAGCGTTTTACCACGCGTTCCTACTCGCGGTAAAACGCGAAACAGGTGAAAACCCATGTTTGCCTATGGGCATGGTTCTCACCTGCGTGTTTTACCGCGTGTACGATCGCGAGGTAAAACGCCATACACCCAAAGAAGTACAGGAGCTTCTTTGGGGTGTATTAACGCATGTATCCTGCTGTATTCATCAGGATACAGCCCGATACCCCCTCAGAAACTCGCGTTTGCCGTGCGTTTCTTTTACCGCAAATAGTGGTAAAACCGCGCGGCAAACGCGAGTTTCCAATACGCTAAGGTGTGGACCCAGCGTTAGGGAGCGGAATGGCTTCCAGGGGATCTTTTCTCGGGTGATGGTTTTTAAATAGCAGTGCGGAAATAACTGTCCCCCAATTTGCTGTTTAAAAACTTACACTGGTAGAAAAGCAATTAAGATTTTTATCAGTGGTGGAAAAGCCCATGTGACTGTTATGGGGCCTGGGGCTGGAAGGGGCCTCCATTAAGGATTGCAAAGTTGCTGTTGACAATGACCCTGTACTCCCTGTGACTCTTCCTATCAAGAAGAGCTGACATCAGATGTACAGGAGGAGACAATGCAGACAGCTCTCCTGCTACCTGACTTTAATATCATTGACAGTAGGAAAGTCGCCAAGGGGCCCCATCAAAATTTTGCCATGGGGCCCTTATGATATACAGTTACACCCCTGGATTTAATCAGTATAGTAGAACTCAAACCAACATTTATATATATTTTTTTTTTTTGATAGATCCCATTGAGGAGATTTCCCTTAACTTCCCGACAGGAAATTCCTCAAATGAGAGGGAAATCACTAGTGGTCAGCAGGGTCACCAGAACTAGTGTCTCCATTGGAAGATTTCCATTTATTCCTGTTCTGATGACAACCCAACATTTGGGATTTTCGTTCCCTTTCAGTGATAACGGTCAGCAGGAAAAATGATGGGGGGGGGGGACTTTCCCTAATGCCCCATTCACTTCTGAGAGTACACCGTGTTTCATGAATCCGTTTCAAAGGGTGTGTTATTTTGCACATATGCACCCAATTTGATATCTTCTGCCCCATGTGCTCCAAGATGGAGACTCTCATAGTTTAGAGTTAGGACCGCACTATAAGAGGTGCCTTGGCGCGGCAGTGCGGCTTACACATCCTTTGCAGAAGACGTGTATCCAAACCTCTGTCATTGTCCTTAGTGGTGAGACAAGTTGTTTTACATGCTAGTTTGTGAGTGTGCCATGATGCCTTTCTACTGTTCTTCTTATTTTGCACATATAACGCACAGACATGAAACGTTCAGGTGTGAATGGGGCTAATAGGGGACACAGACAGCAATAACAATTCTAATCCCTCTCCACTCCATCCAAACCTGAAAATAAAGTTTTGACTTCAATTGCACTTTAAGTTTTCAGTGTGAGGGCCTAACCTGAACAATCCATTCTGTGTCTATCCAGTCTGGGGGATCCCTGCAATACACCCATGTTGCTATATCTCCTGCAATCTGATTGCAATCAGTGGCTGCCATTTCTTCAATGAAAAATGATCTAACCTCATCCAAAGCTGAGGAGCCCAGTGGATGATTTGTGAGCCCACACACAAGTCTACAACAGATTCAGGTCACAACGTGATTGTATGATATCCTTTAGATTTAAGGTGCCCACACACCTTGCGATAATCGTATGATAATCGTGGCAAATCATGTGTAGCATGTTCGTAAGATAAAAGCCGGACGAGCCGGTGTGCGCAAGCCCCCCCTCAGCAGGGCAGGCTCGCGATCATCGCAAGTACGATCTGCCTGTCCAAGATAGGCAGATCGTACGTTTTTTTAATGACCTTACAACCATCGCAAGACAAAAGTCTTGCGATGGTTGTAAGGTGTGTGCTCAGCATTAGACTTTACCAGATGAAATGGGCAGAGATTGTCCAGGGAGGTCCCTCCACTGCAGATCTGTTGGTAATTCTAGTGATCAGAGATTGTACAATCAGATTCACTTATGTGTGGCCCGATCACTTGAGCACAGTCGCTAAACCTAGACCCTAGGGCAGGGATAGGCAAACTTGGCATTCCAGCTGCCTCTCCCTCAGTCTTGCAATGCCTCATGGCACTTGTAGTTCCACAACAGCTGGCATGGTGCAGTTGCCTATCCCTGCCCTAAGGGGTTCATAAATGAAAGTTTTGTTTAAATGCCACAAGCACCCCCAGATGGCGCTGACAACTATAGGAATTCTTATACCCGTCTGTGCCATCTAGGGGAACCAGTGCCATGTCAACAGCATCCTCATTGCGTATACGTTTTTTTTAATGAACCCCTAAAATCCTAAAGTATTACTGGAATTATTTGCAGATTATGGCCCCAGTATGGAGATTTCCCCTTAATTTCTTTCTTTTATGCCAGACAAAACAGGAAGTGAAAGGAAATGTCTCCAATGGAGATGTAATAGTAAAGTTTCTTGTAGGGTGGGAAGGGGTTAGGATCTCTGCCTGTGTTCCCATTGGGGAGATTTCCTTTTACCTGCTTGCCAGGGGGTGGATATGGCAGAGGAAATGTCAACAGGGTATTAATATGATACCTGGTGATTATGCCACAAAGGGTGGTAGATCAGGCACTTCCTATTATATGGTGACAGCACGCCACTGTCCCTGTCTCCCAGTTCTGCTCCTGTGTTGTCACATGATTACAAGTGGTCTTCTCCACTCATTCTGCAACATTTCTGTTATTGCCATCTGGAAAGGTGCCCTGAGAAATTGCATACAGCCAGGTATATGGAAGTAACTGAAAAGAAGCTGCAGGACATCTGTGGCAATGAGACGCAACAAAGGATAAACAAAAAAAGTTGAAAACAAGTCATTAAAAACAAAAAACAAATGACAGATGTTTATGATACATAACACTTTAGCAAACTAAATGTCATTCATTTTCGTTCTACATGTACTTTAAAGTGTCAGAGAACATTTATTGAACAAAGAAAGTCATTTTCAGTTTCTAATGAACGGCGGTGGTTTAGTACTGTATTATTGCCAGACTAAGTATTTTAGTGACGCTCTAACTTTAAGGCAGCGGCCATGTTGTCGGAGACCTGCGTCTTTAAATTTTACACATAATACAAGCTGCGTTGGAGGGAGACATGTCTAAGGGAGAATTGGGCTCTCTAGTGACCTGCATCGCTATGGTTGCTAAGCGACAGTAGCGTGGATCTACACTCTGCCTCCTTAGTACGCACTATCCAATCAACATGTCCTCAGCAGGCCCGTTCAGCACTGTGATTGGATAGTGAGTGGGTGTTGCGTAACAGAAAGTCTTCTGACAGAAGCGGGAAGCTGAGCTCGTATTTTGAACCGTAGTATGATGTACTCCGGCTGCAGTTTGTTCCTTTTCTTTGATGACTCGGTGGTAGTGCACTATGGGGCTGAAGGGAGACTCTGCCTGTCACCGTGCGGCACCGAATTCCTGTATGAGAAGCCTCTGGTTGGCGCTCACCCTGTACAAAAGCCAGAGAGGGGGAGGCACAGGACTGAGTTTGTGACAAGCAGATGCCGGGTAAGGGGGAAGGGTTGGAAAGAGAGCAAAAGGGAAATCTGTATATATGGCTGTGTGTTTGATCAAGCTGTTTGAAGCACTGTTTTGTTTTTTTAAAACTTTATTGCAAAATGACATTTAATTCTGGGCCCATTTACACTTGCATTTTAATGCACACAGTCTGATGTGCTGAGACGCATGTGTCATGATACTCCATAATAAAGATAGTACTTGTTCTTTGAAGGATGCAGCCTTCATAATAAGCAGATTAATAGGGTTATATCACCACCTGCAGGAGTAGGATGCTAGGCATACAAAAAAAACAAGCCAACTCCAGGGGGCTGCCCCTGTTGGTGCCAATACCACCCCTGTCTGCAACAACCCCCTCAAAGTTTTGGGCCGAGGACAGTTCTGGCCTGCAAACTGGTACCATACAGCCTGCAGCTGGCTGACAAGTCAGCACAGTCACGGACCGCTTAACTGACTTGCAAATGCAGAAGAGGTGATTGGGTCCATAAATTTCACAGGAAATATATACTGGTATTGCGCATGTTCGGGAAGTGTGTCCAGGTAATTTACAGGCAAGGCGTCGCTTCCCGTCACGTGCGCGATTGGCAGTGAAATTTGTGGACCCGACCAGCGGGTTTGAGCATGCGCCTTAAGCCGACGCTCCACCATCAGTTGCTTGTGCATGCAGCTGACGCCCCTGGAAGTGACGCATGGGTCCAGATTTCTACCAGGACACCGGCACTCACTGTGAGTCACTGAGTGCCGACCGAAAGGAAGGATTGGTGAGGTCTGCAACAGCCAAAGGTGCAGACCGTACTAATCAACCTGGATCACCTTTCTTCCCCGCATCCAATCCCTATCCAAATCCTGCCGCCTTCACCTTCATAACATCTCCAAAATACGCCCCTTCCTCACCAATGAAACCGCAAAACTACTCATCCATTCACTTGTTATCTCTCGTCTTGACTATTGCAACTCCCTCCTCATTGACCTTCCACTACACAGTTTCCTCCCCCCTTCAGTCTTTCATGAATGCTGCTGCTAGACTCATTCACCTTACCAACCGCTCAGTGTCTGCAACCCCCCTCTGCCAATCCCTGCACTGGCTTCCATCCCCCACCTTCCTCTGTCAATCCCTCCACTGACT